TAAGCCAATGGGAGATCTCTCTCCCGTCTGCTTAGAGCAGCTTCACCAGATGCGGTGCATCGGCGCAGCTGCACCAATGTAAATTTGTAGTGTAGACCTGCCTAAGTTACAGCCTCCCTGGACTGCCAAGAATTTCACCAGTGCAGCATGTTGTGGCTCCTCTGCCCCACCAAACACCTCTTGCATGGCCCTGAAAAGAGAACCTCAGGAGGCAGCCTATTGCTGTCTTCCTCATTTCCTGTGCTGCGGGGATCTTTTCCTAGCTACACCTTGGACTTTTAGAGCCTCTTTACTCAGCTGCAGCCCTTTTACCTGGTGTACAAGGAGTAAGAATCTCACCATTTATGCTTAAAGGTATTGCATTATGGAGTTTGTTTTAGAGTATCAGATTTGTTTTACAAAAATTGATTTCTCTATGGACACAGTTTTGAGAAAAAATTAGTGTCAGTACAAGAAAAAAAGGTTAAAATGGAAGATGGTGAGAATCAAAGAACTTAGGGATATAGAAGAATTTCTATTTGCACTCCATGGTCAAGTATCCCTTTGATGTTTTTTCTGTTTTTTCCACAGCACAAAAAGTATTCAATTAGTGTGGCTGGCAATGCCTAAGGCAGTTTTTTCCTACTAGTTTAACATACTTCAAACAGAATATCCATTTTATTCAATACTGCCTCCTTTTAACCCTTCAAGTACCAAGACAATAAAATGATCAGAGCAAGGCTTAGAGTTTCACTTTAGAGCTAGGTTTCAGAGTAGCAGCCGTGTTAGTCTGTATCCGCAAAAAGAACAGGAGTACTTGTGGCACCTTAGAGACAAATTTGTTAGTCTCTAAGGTGCCACAAGTACTTTAGAGCTAATGTTCCAATCTAAATTATGTATTTCGGACACCTAAATTAAAATGTAAGTTTCATTCTGAGTAAACTTAATTATTTCAGGTCAAACAATAAAGGACTCGTATGTATAGTAAATCTGAAATTTCTCTGTTTTGTAGAGCAGAATGATTTAATTTTAGAGAAGAGAGTCTATGCTTATGTTGCATACTGAAGTTTATATTATAATTTAAAGATGTTCTTTTTTTAATAGCTATTGGGATACAATTTAGAAGATATAAGGTTTTTTCTATATCTGTCTGGTTTAAATAAGCATTTAAGACCACTAGGAGCATTACACTTAGGATATTATGGTGAATTATTTTCTTTTTGATATGTAGTATGCATTAGGGAAACTCGTTTAGAAGACCACAAGGTTTAACATGCATAGGGTTTCAGTCTATTTATTTTACTTAGGAAATACATGACAGCTAAAGTGTCACATTTATCCCTTGCCAAAAAAATGATTAGTGACATGTTTAAAGGTGGATTTTAACTTGGGACTTTTATATTATAGAATACCCATTATTTAGTTCTAGTCTATATAATGGTAAAATAAAGAGAACTACAAAATAGTAGTAGTAGTGTTACATATCCACATTCAAACAAGATACCAACCAGCTCTTGCATCATCCAGAATATCCCTGCCGAAGCACCTCATGCCATCACCATTCTAATTGATTAAAATACTGAATTTATTTAAATAAATAGAGAAAAGGCAAGTTACAAATATAAGACAAAGAACTCTATTTAGCCCTCAATATACGAATACACATACTTAGAACAAAATGTTTTTGATCTCAAAATGTGATCGTTAATGGGGATTCTTCAACAAGTGTGTGTGTGTGGGGGGGGTGGTCCTCATAGGGCGCACAAGGATTGATGCTCAACCAATTGCTATTAAATTTTTTTAATCAATAATCTGGAGGAAATGTACAATTATGATGATAAAGTTTGCAGATGACACAAAGCCTGATTGTGTGATAAATAATGATTAACAAAGGCAACTGATAGAGTGCTCTAGACCCTTTGCAAGCTTGGAACAATCAAGTAGCATACATTAATACAGCCAAAGGCCAGGTCACTCATCTAAGAATAAAGAATATGGGGCATTTTTTACAGAATAGAGGACTGTATCCTGGAAAACAGTGACTCTAAAAAGAACTTAGGGCTCATTTTTAATCAACTGAACATGAGTTCCCACTTTGATATTGTGGCTAAGAGGGTTAACACAATTTTTGCATGTATAGAATAGGGGTATATTAAGTAGGTGTACAAAAGTGATATTACCTGAGACTACAACTAGAATACTTGTCCAGTTTTGGTATCCACCCTTTTTTTAAATAAAAGCTGCAACTTGGAGAGACACAATGAGCTAAATGAATGATTCATGACAAGGAATACAAACACCGGTTATTGAAGTAGCTCAATTTATTTAGCTTTTCTAGGGGCTTTACTACAGGGTGGGATAATGCTCACCATGGGAGTGAGATTTCTAAAGTATGCTAACGTGCTGCGTTAATTGTTCTGTGTAGACCATCCTGGTGTACACTAAAAGTTCCTTAGTGTGTTTTAACATCGTACTATTTCAAACAGCACTATGTTAAAATTAAATTATATTGTTTATTTTGAAATAAACATGAAAAGCACCTATCACGGGCTCTAAGCATCTTTAAGATATCTTACTACCATACACAAACAACAAAATTATACCAGATCCAGTCGGACCTAGTCTCACCACAAAGCCCAAAGGAAAATTAACTAACCAGAACATGGAAAAATACATAAATACCCTCCCTTCCCTAAGAATATGAGCTGTTATACCCTTGTCCCTCACCAACATTAGAGAAAATAGATAGGCTTTGCAGTACGACAACAGGTTTGATTAATTTGGTGTATTCATTTGTCTAGAGCAATGGCAGTCTGCTTTGTAAAGCTAAAGTGCCATTTTATCATCCAACTGAGTCAGTGGAGAGCCACAAAATATTATCAACACTGTGTCCTAATAGTGTGTTATGATATAAGATTGTGTTTTTCTGATGCATCATCTTCACATATTAACGCAACATGGGATCTCAATATTAAGATATTCAGCTATGATTATTTTGTGGCTCTATGCAATACCATTTTTCACTATCTCCCTCCTCCTTGGTGCTAATAGGGAATTAGTGAGATCAAGGAAGAGTGAGATGAGTTCTAAGTCAGACTTATGCACTCAGACTTTACTCTAGTGCAGAGGTCTTCAATCTGTGGGGCGTGCTCCCCTAGGGGGTGTGGAGAAACGTTCGGAGTGGCGCAGCTGGGCCCAGACCAACTCCCACAGGGGGCGGAGAGGGAGCACCACCCAGCTCCGCTCCTGGCTCTGGTCCCAGCTGCTGGCCTTGCGCCCAGGGATCTACTCCTGGCCGCGGCTGCCAGCCCTGTGCCTGAGGTCCTGGCTGATGGCCCCATGCCCAGGGCTCCATGCCCGGCTGCAGCTGCAGGCCTCGGTTCCCAGCCAAGGGTCCGCTTCCCAACTGTGGCCCCACCCTGGGCTCCCTTACCCCATCCATGTCTCCCCCTCCCGGCGCCCTGTCCCTGCTCCCAGTTCCATGGGAGGTGTGGGGTAGGCGTGAGGTTAAAAGTTTGGGGACCAGTGCTCTAGAGCTTCAGTATTCTTGCTGCACTTGTCTGTCAGGAGGATACCAATTATTTTCAGAGGAAACACAGCCATTGAATTGCAAACATATGATTGCCATGGAAACAAGGCACAACATTGCAATCCACATATTTTCTAAGCTTAAATAATTACTGTTGATCTCCACATTTTATTAATCACTTCCAGAATGACTGTAGAACTTTCCTTGTATATAAACAAACTTAATTTTCTGTAAGTTTTATTACTTTTTCCATGACATCCTAGGTTATGTCAACCAGGTACTAACAAATGTTATCAGTGTGTCTGAAAAGCTGTTGTATCACCCAGTCAGATGACTTCCTTGTGTGGTTTTAGCAGCACAATTCTTTAAATCTGTTCTTGCTTATTGAATAGATTTGAATTTTAAGGAGAGAAACTCAATAGTGCATTTTTATTAAATAAATCTCAAAGGTTAAGATTACATGAGGCCCTTTCTAAAATCTGTAGATTTACATCAGAAAGATACCTTTTTCTGCCGATTTTATTTAGTTTAGATTAGACACTTTTGAACTGCTAGGCTCCAAGTGACAATCTCTTGCTGTCCATTTGCCAGTATAGCCCACTCATCTTCTAACTATATACCATTTTCTGCAGCTGCTTTGCCCTGTCCAATCAGGTATAGACAAGGCAAAATCTGCATCCTCCTTTGCTATCTGTGCTCTCTGCCTGCTCTTGGGATGCTGCATTAGTAATCATGATGCTTTCACTTTCTACGAACATTCTTGGAAATTTAGTCTTGCTCACAGTAATACTTCAAATTGCAAATGAAAGGGTCATGGATACCAATGAAGTGAATTGGCAGGTTTTATTCACAACAATTTTTATAAATATATACTTCTATTGTATTTGTCTAGCTCTTGTCTATACAGCCACTTTTAGCTTATCTTTGACAACATTTAGCAGGGAACATGGAATATTGTGTGTTAAATTCTAGACACCTTATTATCAGAAATATATTGACTAATTTCAGGGAGTTCAGAGAACAACAAAATGATTAGGGGTCTGGTGGCTGTCTGATTTATGATGAAAAACTTCAAGTCTAATATGTATCAGTTAGGTAAGCAACAAGAAAGCATACAGCAAGGAATCATATGCTGGAAATCAGAGAAAAAGGGGAATAGAATATGTTGGGGGAGGAAAAGGGGATGATGAAGTGAGGATCAGCTGGAGATACTGCAATAATTTGTTTTGACTTTTTGGAGAGAAAACCCATCAATATCCTTGAAAACAATTAAAATACAAACATTCTTTCCTAACATTACTAGTAAATAATTACTGTAGTTGCAACTGAGATGTTGCACACACACCTCCTCCCTCCACTCCCACCAGCCCCCAAAATGCACACAAATTCTCCTGATGAGGTGACACATTTCTAACAATTTTTGTAATATTTTACTCTTTCTTCAGCAATGTGGAAGTGATTTAGGTATGGTATACAATAAACCTGTTCTTACCTGTTGCACGATGGTTGTTAATTCCAGGCACAGTTGAACAATATTGTTTTTCAGCAGTGAGTATTCTGTCACACTGACAAATGGAGACCTGCCAGAGAGGGACAACAAGTTTGTAGGAGACCTCAGCAATCTGTGTTACTGAGCTGTACCCTCCTGTAATCATAGAATATCAGGGTTGGAAGAGACCTCACAAGGTCATCTAGTCCAACCCCCTGCTCAAAGCAGGACCTAATCCCCAATTATTATTTTTTGGCTCCCTCAAGGATTGAACTCACAACCCAAGGTTTAGGAAGCTAATGCTCAAACCACTGAGCTATCCCACAGTGCAGGCTATACAGAAACTGAGGAACCCCATGTAGAACAATGTGTGACTGCAGGATGTACCTGGCATGCTTCTAGTACCTTAGATGTTTGATATGCCTCAGCACTGGGCAGATATAATAAGTATAGCAGTCAAGTCCTTAGTTTTATGGCTTATCCAAAAGATAGCACATCAAGCAGCACTCTGCTCCTTAGGGGCAAACTATAGCCTTAGTTCAGTATTAACTAAGAGGGATGGGTGCCATTTACTGAGCTACTAACCCAACTTCCTGCAGGACCTGGGTTTTCCTTGGAGTCTCCAAGTACTGTTCGGATCTGACCCATTTGGCTTATAAAGACTGATGAGATTACATCCCAGGAGAGCTTGATTGCTAGCATTAGGTCAGAGAATGTCATCAGGGTCATAACAAGCTTTGTGAAGAATGGTCATGTCATTCATTTATATGCACAATAGTTTCAGATTTCAGCTGAAGCTATTCACTTCTATAGAGAAATGCAGTGTATGTATAAAATAGTAGTTCATACATAATCAATATTTTAACACAGTTCATGCAGAGAGTTACTTTGTAAACTGATTCCTAATTCATCAATGAGAAATCATAGCATTCTCTCACCAAGCAGTAATTAATGTGACAAGAGTGACTAATGTATGAACTGCCCTTTACTGTTAACAAAAAGTCAACTAGTAAGCTCTGAGTTTCCAGAGATAAGCAAGCAGTATAATTTCTTTTAGAAATTATCCAAGAACAGGTATGCAGCAGGGATAGCAGCAGTTCAAATTTCCCTACGCTGCTCTCTTAATTTGTGTCAGCCCTAAATGGTCAGGACCACTCTTTGCTCTGGTTATAGGGCAGCTCAGTTTCTATGTTAATTTATCCCTTATCCTTCCTTCTGAAATTGAAACAATCCTACCATCTGTAGTGGCAATTTTTGCCATTCACTAGGAACAAGACTGAAATTGCTAATTTCACAGAAAAGAGACTCCAAAAATCCCACAGCCGGCCCCTGACCCAGGCCTATTCAGCCTGGAACTCAAGTATATAACAAAATTTACAAAGTAAAACCTATAATTACAATTCTAATACTAGACTAAGAGAAAGAGAAAAGAGCAAGAGAAAAAGAAAAAGAAACAAACAGGGCAAAATAATTACTCTTCTCCCTCTCCCCTCCCCCATAAGAATTAAAAAGCTCTAAATTACCTGTCCAGCCAGGCTAGCAAGTTCTTTGCAGCACCAATCAGGTCAACAACAGAGGTAAGAAAATCATTTGGCAGTCGTCTGGAGGCCCTGCCATCATAATGGCCACTCCTCCTTCTACCCGTTATAAAGTTCTGAAGATTTTTGGCTGAGGCATTCAGCTTGTGAGAGAGTGTTCTCAGGTTTTCTGTCTCCAAACCATAATTCTGAAAGAAAAAAGTATACATCACACAACACGTTTAAAGCAGATAGCTAAGCCACAGACTATTGAGCTGAAACATTTGCAGCTTGCTTTGATTCACTCAATTCTAGAGCACAGCAAAGTCAAAGCAAGTCAGGAATTGATGAACTGTCCCAGTAGATAATGAGTATTTAACAGCTGATCTTTCAGAGCCCTTCCTTTCCAAGCTCTTCACAGCCTCTCTCCAAGGTAGGTAAGTAATAAATGCATTAATCCCATTTTACAGAGGTGGAAATAGAGGATCAAAGATGTTAAATGATTTACTCAGGATCACATAAGGTAGAATCATAGAACTGGAAGGGACCTTGAGAGGTCATCTAGTCCAGTACACTGCACTCACAGCAGGACTAAGTATTATCTAGACCATTCCTGACAGGAGTTTGTCCAACGTGCTCTTAAAAATCTCCAATGATGGAGATTCCACAACCTCCTAGGCAATTTATTCCAATGGTTAACCACCCTCACAGTTAGGAAATTTTTCCTAATGTCCAACCTAAACCTCCTTTCCTGCAATTTAAGCCCATTGCTTCTTGTCCGATCCTTAGAGGTTAAGAAGAATAATTTTTCTCCCTCCTCCTTGTAACATCCTTTTATGTACTCGAAAACTATTATCATGTCCCCCCTCAGTCTTCTCTTTTCCAGACTAAACAAACCCAATTTTTTGCATCTTCCCTCATAGGTCATGTTTTCTAGACCTTTAATCATTTTTGTTGCTTTTTTCTGGACTCTCTCCAATTTGTCCATATCTTTCCTGAAATGTGGCACCCAGAACTGGACACAACACTCCAGTTGAGGCCTAATCAGCATGGAGTAGAGCCCAAGAACTACTTTTTGTGTCGTGAATGCAACACTCCTGCTAATACATCCCAGAATGATGTTAGCTTTTTTTGCAACAGCTGTTGCACTGTTCACTCATATTAAGCTTGTGGTCCACTATGACCCCCAGATCCCTTTCCACAATACTCCTTCCTAGGCAGTCATTTCCCATTTTGTATGTGACACTACAGCTGGTTAAACTGCTCATTGTAAATAATCTGATGAATTTAGCTCTTTTTTGTTGTAATTCATTCAGACTTTTATTCTTACAAGTTAATTTGTTATTCAGGACTGTTTAAAATATTTCTGTGAACAAATTTCAGAACATTGATTGATTATCCACTGTTAACTTCAACTATTCATCATTTATAGTGTATGATTGGTCCTCTATGTCATGTGGCATTATCATCCACTCAGAGAGCAGAAACAAACTTTTAAACCATGAACACAGATACTAATGAATAGTTAACAACGTATAGCTTGTTTGCATGAGAATAGAGACATATATACAAAGAACAGCTATTTCCCAAACATTAGTGAGAAGAGAAACCTATTTGTGTGACTATTCATAGCTAGGGACCAAATAGCCACGTGGAATCTGAACAAATGTTTGTGAACACTGTTTTGTAAGATTCAACTACTTGATGTCCAGGCCTGTGTCTTAACTGCAAGACCATCCTTCCTCAGAAAGTTTGACTGTTAGAAGAGGGATTTGAACTGCAGGGGTGGACTGCAATCTAAATGGAGAGGAAATACTTTATCTTAGTAGTCAGCTTTCTGCAATGTGCTCTGATTTAAAAAAAAGAAAAACAGAAATGGGTGGGGGACAGAATGCATTCTTTTCACCCAGACCTACCCTGAAATAATGTCAAAATATACAACAGGACATGGATAAAAATTAAAGACTAACTAGCAAAATAGACAAATAAAAAAACCCACTGTTTGCAGTGGTGATGTAGCTGTGCTGGTCCCACAATATGAGACACAAGGTAGGGGAAGTAATGTATTGGACCATCTTCTGTTGGTGGAAGGTACATGCTTTTGAGCTACACAGAGCTCTACTTCAGGTCTGGGAAAAGAAATCAGAGCGTCTGAGCTAACTACAAGTTGAGACAGATTGTTATGCATAAGGGGTAATGCATGTTGTAGGCAGTCACCTGAGTTGAAGTGGGCAGCTGAGGGTTAGATTTCTATGCATAATGGGTTTGAAGTGGGTAGCAGAAGATGTACATAAAATATGGGGTATATCTATGCTGTAATAAAAGACCCGCAAGCACTGAGTTTCAGAGCCCAGGTCAACTGACTCAGCTACGCTCACAGGGCTAAAAATAGGCCTATAAATATTCAGGCTCCTGTGCTCCAACCCAAGCCCAAATATCTATATGTGAGCCCCACAGCCCAAGCCCCACAAGCCCGAGTCAATCGACCTGGGCTCTGAGACTCTCTGCTGTGGGTTTTTTTTTAATTGCAGCTTAGGCTTACCCATGGTGTTTGACATGGCAAACAGTTTCCTTCATTCCCCCTAAATGAGCATTATACAGGAAATGTTTGACAGTTTTACTTACCTAATACATTTGAGTGCTGAAATCCTTGATAAAAAGCAGGCTGTTTTATATTAACTTGTCATCGGCTTAACATTTATAGCTACTCATTCATTCTTTGAAATATGTATATGTGTTCCTCCCCTTTTCTCTCCCTTTCTCTTGTACTGGGACAATAAGCAAGTGGCCCCACTAAAATGCCTATACAACAGTTAGTAAGGAAGAGTCATGTGGTTCTCCCTTTCAAGAGGAGCTTGATTTTGTCTATTCAGTAACCCATATTAAGGAGCATAAGCCAGTTCCTCCTGTTTGTATTTCAGAGTCCATATCTCCCTGTTCTTGCACTAACAGGCCAACCACTGTGCCTGCCCATAACTCACTCCTATGTAGAAAGTCTGGGAGATTGCCAACTTTCTCTCAAGAAAAGCCACTATTGCCATCAGGTAAGAAAAGGAAACAATCTTTGGCTGTTGCAATTGAGATAGGAATGTATCGGCCTTTCTAAGTCCCAAGTGCTTTTCTAAATTCCCAAGTGCTGAGAAATGTAGGCTTGATACTGGCAGCACATTCACCATGGCACAAATTTTACATTCTCATTTATTACAAAAACAGATGCAGAACTTCCTGTGGAGACAACTGAAGATAAGCACTGGTGGCCAGAAAGGGTGAAAACTTGGTTAAGAACCTTGTTTTTCATCTGCATGCATAAGCTATTAGAATATAGTGTGCATGGACCATTATTAAGCTATATATTTGAATGGTAAAAATACAAACAAACCTACCATCAATGGGTCTAACTTGAGAGAAAAAAATCGTGCATTTTCTACTATTTTCTTATCCTCCAAATGGTGTATGAGAAAGGTGAAAGCATATACAATTATGTTTCTTCTCTTGACATTTGAGTATAGAGCAGGATAATTTATAATGAAAGGACACAAGCAAACTGAAAATATCACATCCATCCACAAGACAGAAAATCAGAGAGCTGTATGAGTGCAAGGACTTTGATCTAAAAAAGAAAGCTACAATGAAAACAGCTGGTTTAAAATTTTGGCTTGCAAGACCCACTGCACAAAATGCAGGGTACAAAGTCAAAGACTGGTGCTCTTACTGAGGATTTTAAATTTGAAGAGAGCAATAGCTTTGATTAATAGATATACTGTGGAAAGAATAGCTTTCTATTGCAGAAAGTAGAGAAGAAATCCAAACTCCAGAATAGGATTTTGCCATAATGGGTGGGAATGTGTAAGGAGGTGATATGGTTGGTAATATTAATATTTAAACATAACTCTTTATATGCAAACACCATATGAACAGTAACAGTAATCTGCTCCAATATCCCTGAGAGTTAGGAAAATCAATATTATCATCCCTATTTAAGAAATGGGGGAAAGAAATACAGAAATGACCATGAGCAATTCACACAGTGACTCGGGTAGAGTGAGGATTAGAGCTCAGAAATTCCTGGCTTCAAGTCCCACTGGCAGCTTAAAGAGAAGCAATGGCAGGATTAGAGAGGATAGTTTCATGAGGTGGAGATTACATTAAATGCAATCAATGACTAAGGGGTTTAATCACAGAAGGGCTATACTAATGATAAGGCAAAGAGTCTAACGATGTTTGTATTGTCTAGAGCTCATCAAAACTCAATATTTCTGTTTCATGGGGAAAGTTGACATTTTGAATTTTTTTTTGTCTCAGGAAAAAAAGTCTACATTTTCTGTGAAACAGAATGTCTGGAAAATTTTGTTTTGGGAAAGATGATGTTTTGGAATTTTAAAAATTCATAGTGAATTTTTAAATTTCATTTTGAATGTTATTTTATGGGATTTTCAAGCTTATATTTTTACGTTATTTCACTACATCAGTAGTAATACGGCATATTGCACAACTGCTACTGCCATATCATAGCATAATAGGTCTGTTGTTTTTATTTCTTTTTTAAAATCATTAAAGGCAGCTTCTATTTAGTACTGGTGGAAACACCTTTGTCTTTTCCAGGTCAAGCATCTCCTGTTTGTATTTTAATAAAACAGTGTAATGCAGAAAGTGGGTGAAACGCATCAAAGTGTTTCATTTTTCAGTGAAAAATTTCCTAATAGGTCTAGTATTGATGCACTACTGACTTAGAATTATATTAATCACAGAGAGGGTTTATATTATATGCTTGCTTGACCTGGAAAAGACAAAGGTGTTTCCATATATATATTGCACTTTGGTTTTTAGTACTGGTTGGTTTTATTCTCCATGAACAGTTTGTTATTTTTAAACACATCAGTGAGGTTTTTAGTTCAAGTCCCATGTACAATTAATTTTGAGATGTCTGTTTCAAAGTTTGTTCATGCTTTCAAGTGGTTAGTGTCATTGGACACAGCTATGGATAGTGAAGTGACAGGATTGAGTGACTCCAGGGCTTTTGCAGTTGATAGGTTTTTCAAAGTAAAGAAATAACAGGTAGCTGTTGTAAGATGTGTGACAACAGCACAGAATATGGGTGGACAACAGGTTATTTGTACAACTTGAGAGAAATTATAGCCTTTATTAGTGGGTTATTTGCTTTTAAAGATGAATGACAGAGCACTTTTATGAAACAAATCTTGAATACCTA